GTTGCATTTAAAGTGGAGCTGCATGGCAAAGTCATGGAGGTGGACTACTCCGTCCCCAAGAAGCTGAGGTAAAGCCCGCGCCCTCCCCCGCGGCTCCTGCCCCAGCCACTGCCCCTGCCCTGCCCCGGGGGCACCGGCGGGGCTGGGGACAGCTGCGTTTTTACTTTCATTATGGGCCACCCGAGGCACAGCGGCGCCCGGCTCGGGCTGTCCAGCCGCTGGGACTTGTTTACCGACTTGGAAAAGTCTCTAGCAGCCCCCCCCGCCCCCCGTGCCCAAAGCGCGCCCTGGCAGCGCCAGCCTGGCCCCACGGCTCCCTCCTGACCCTACCCGCTGAAATCCCCCCCAGCCCCTGGCGCTGCCCGTGTGAGGGGGGGGGGGGGGGGGGTTGGGTTTTGTTGTTTTTCGGGCTCTGCCATGGCTGAGCACCGCTGGCGGGCGGCGTGATGCGGGCTGTGTCCTCCATGCCGGCCTGCCCACCAGGCGCTGGGGGCCACAGCACCTTGGCTCGGCTCCGGAGAGCCCCAGCTGCTCCAAGCCAGGTTGCGGGGCCACGGCGGCCTGGCCCGAGCCTCCCGAAAGGCTGGTCCGGTGGAGGCGCCAGGGTGGGGAGCGGGAGCGGGACCACCCCAGGGTGGCACTGAATGCGGTGCAGCCTAGATGGAGCGCTCTCTGTGCGCGCAGGTGAAGCTGCCGCTAACCCCCGGGTTGCATTGTCTTTGCCTTCTTTTTTATTCCGGCTGCGGGCAGTGACATGTCTCCCCTTGGTGGCTCTCCTGATTTGAGATGTGACGCGTTCATAAAAGCCTTTTTTATTTTTTTTTGTTTGGTGGGGTTTTTTTTGTTTTGTTTTGTTTTGTTTTTTCTTTTTTTTTGGTGGCCATTTGGGTTGGGAGGAAATTAAGGCGAAGCCCTTGATCCTCCCAACTCGGATTTGATTTTAGACGTTGTTCTAATGCTGGCAATAGAAGCAACTGTTATTGTTCTACTGGGGCAGCTGTTTAGCACAAACTTCTGTAAACTGACAAGGTTTGCTGCTAATGTAGGGGCAGGCAGTTTTTAATCTTCATAAATACAGCTGCGGGCAATGTAACAGATACAGGGGTCTAGCAATTCAAATGGTTCCAACAGGAGTGGTTGTGGGGTTTTTTTTGTTTTGGCTTGGGCTATCTCTTGCAGGGATGGTAATAATATTTAAACTGCATTTGGAAGGGAGAAAGTTGCGTGTACCATTTTGACTCGAGTTTTTCTTCTTTTTTTTTTTTTTTTTTGAGAGAGAGAGCGAGTTCTGGTCTGTTAACGTAGGACTGTGTCCCATGTTGGTGAAACTTTTTGAGCAGGGGAGAAATCCTCTTCTCATCCCATGTATTGAATTCAAAGAAAGTGCCACGAGAGACTGACGTCACAACCCTTAAAGAGTGATGGGATCAAATATGGCAGGGCACTTCTGAATGTGCAGTCTTACTGGGTGTTTTCCTGCTCTGAATCTCCCCAGTGATAGGCAGGAAGATGAAAACTTCAACACCAGTTTCTCCTTGAAAATACCTTTGTTGCCTGCTAGATACTGCAGTAGTTCCAAGGCTTGGGATGTGTTGTTTGCATTTGATGCGAGCTTTGTACAGAAGCATTACAAAACGGAACGCAGGGTTTTGCTTTTACCAACGGGAGGTCTCCCCTTCCTTTTCACGTATTTACAATTACTTTGGTCATTTGAAGGATCCTTGACTTGAACCTTTTTACCAGGTGTTTAGAAGATTGAATCTCAGGATATGTAGGATGTGTAATTTATTTATATTTTTAATTAAGTGTGTGTGTGGGGAGGAAGCCTAGAATTTATTCTATAGCTGCAATGTTTTTTGAGCACGTGTCTGTGTAAAATGTCCATGTTTTGTGATTCAGTGGAAATGCAGGCTAAGTATACAGACTGCATACAGGACTCTCAAATGTGTTAACTTAGTGCTGCTGCTATTTCAGTCTCATACTGGAGGTTCTCAGTGTGGTGATTTTTCAAGTAGTATTTTCAAAATACATGGGAAGTAAGCGTGTACAGTCAAAGCTCCGTGAGAAATGGTTAATGTTTGGCAGCATGTATGACATGGCTCCTAACGCACATATGTGAAGGATGTGGCAGTGTTGGGGTTTCTTCTACAATGAACACGCACAATTCTACCTAAAACAACAAAACAAAAAACCCCCAAAAGTGGGGAAAAAGCCATACATAGTGTTTCGAAGCAACTAAATCTCTTCAATAACTTTTTCTCGGCGTTCTTGCACTTTTAGGACTTTTGTTAGAATGACAGAGTTAGATCCCTGTGAGTTAGAAGCACAGGTCTCTGGGGAAGGCTTAGTTTCCACGTCTGTTACTTCATGTTGCATTAAGAAAAAAGATGTGAACTGTGATTTCATCCTTACTGCAGCCTTAGTAACTGTGGGAGGGAAGAGGGGGTGGTGAGGGAGGGGAGGTCCTAATGTTACCTATGGGGGGAAAAAAAATCACTGCACAGTCCAGAGAAAAATGTTCGTATTTCTGTTGCCCCCCTCCCCAGCCCTTTAATTTTACTCTCCTTTCAGCTGCGCCCAAGTTCTCTACTTCAGCTTGGAACCTTGATTTCTTTTAATTGTTGAAATCTGATTTAAATCTTGTCTTTCCCCACCCCCCTCTCTCAAAATATAGTTGGGCTGTGTTTTATGTACTTTGTCAGTCTAGTGGTGTATCAATAAGGTTGGACTTTTCATCCTGTTTTTTATTACGTTATTTTGACCTGGAATATGGGCTCTCACAGTTGTGCCTTTGGTTTTTCAATAGGTGCCCCTTGAAGTATTCTAGTGTTTGTGGAATTTCTGTATCAAGGCAAATCTCCCATGTAGCTTTTAGGAGTTGCCCAAATTTTGCTGCTCTTGCCCTGTGCTCACAGGATTCAGGCAAAATTCCCCTTGGCTTTGGAGGGGGATTGTTTTTAATTAGATGTGTAGTATTTGAGGACTTTCCATGTTATATAGATGATGTTACTCTCCTATCGTTTTAATACCATGTGACCATAATGTAGTGAATATACCCAGGGGGCACCTCTCCTGATCCCTAGATTTGGTCCAAGCTGAGTTTATATAAAATATTCTAAAATGTTTTGGGTCCAGGTTTGTTTTATGCTTTATTGGTTTTGGTTGACACACTTTATGCTGTGACATGTTTGGACTGGGAGTGCAGCATTTGAATGGTTTTGTGTTGGATTTAATTGAAGAAGGGAAACCTGATAAGATGTCTGTTAAAATGTGTTTGAAATCTCTCTGGATGTGCAGACAGTAAGGTTCATTTGTACTGCTAGGTTTAGTTAATAGAATTTTCTTGAGTGTCTTCAGGAACTGTTTTGCTTTTATTTATTTCCCACCCCCCCAAAAAATACAAAATAAAATGACATCCATTCTAATCCAAAGGTGTTTACATAGCTTAAAAAATAGTGTAAAAGGGTTAGATGCAGCTCTGTAAATTGATTTCTGCACATCTCCACGTGGTAACACAGACCTGTTGGAGGTGAGCGAGCTGGTGGGGGGGAATATCATGAAGTACTGCAGGAAAGTCTGTGACTTTACCTTTCATGAGTTAAAGCCCAGCAATTGTGTTCTCTCTCATGCAAATGATTTTTGTCTCCTATAGGAATGTTAAAGAAAACAGTATCCCAATTGTATTTATTTGTATGTACAACATTGTGTATAGGCAAACTCAGTTTTTAAAAACCCACTTTATTATAACATCAATTTTAAATCCATTAGAAACAAAGAATACATTATTTGGTTAAAATAGGATGTTATCAGCCTGTTTCAAGAATCTGCTGAATTGGAAATGTAACATTTAAAAGAAATTTTGCAACTGTGCTTTTAATTGAGATTTGTTATAGTTTGAAACTATGATTATTAATTATAGTCACTGAATACCTGATTAATATTAATAAATATTAAACAATTATGCATTTTTTGTGAAATACTAGAAATACCAAAAAAATCACTACAATGTTAAATCTAATGTAGTGTGTATTTGGCAGAAATAAAACAGATCAATTTGGTAAAGAGTGAAATATAGCAAGTAATTCAATTTAGTGTTACCATAATGCTTTTAATTCTTAGCGTCTTTATTGCTCTTTTGTTTTAAGCTTCTAAATTATTTTTAAGTGTGAAAAACAAGAGCACCAGGAACATGTAGAACAATGGACTGAGCAAGAGAATGAGAAGAACCTTTAATTCTAATTTAATACCAAATTTCTAAAATATTTAAATATTTAGACCATTTAAAAATATTTTATTTGTGCTATTGAATAGCAAACTGGTGGTGGATGCCTGTTCTGTTTTACGTAAAAAAAAAAAAAAAAAGAAAAAAAAAAAAAGAAAAAGAAAATGTCTAATGTATACCCATCTCGTTTTTAAAATCAAGTCTGCCCAATGTAATTTTCATTTAAAAATGTACAATAACTTTCCAGGTTTATTTAGAAAAAAGAAAAAAAGGCAACGACTTTTAGTGAAGTCTTTCAACTTTAAAAATCCTCCCATGCACGTGGCATGTTCTGGGCATCCCCTTTTATTGTTTTCTGTGGATATAGAGCCAGTTGCACAAGAGATAGAGGCAAAGAATACCTGCCAAAATTTCGCTTGTGGATCTAATCTTAGGATGGCTCGAGGAGTAATGATATTTCTCAGTTTTCAAAAGTAATTCTCCTCAGATCTTACCTGCTTTTTAAATATCGTATTAGAGAATGTGAGGGCGAAAGTTAACGTGTCTCTGCAAAATTTGAAGCCCTCGTTAAATAATTTGCTGTTGTTTTTAACAGGAAAAGGAACATTAACGTGGTGTATGCAGATCAATTCTGATAGAAAATTGCATAAAAGTTAAAAAAAAAAAAAAAAAAAAAATTGACCATTTGCTCTATTTACTGAGGAAGATTGTACAGATCTCTGTGTTTTTGCCTAAATGGGGGAAGCTGTACATTTTGGAAGTGATTTTTCCGCATCGAAACTTTTTCTAACTATATGATGCTTAAATGTGAATCACCATTCCAGTCTGAAAAAACGACTGTTCACA